TATATATATATATATATATATATATATATATATATATATATATTTTTTATGTATACAATATAATATATATATATATATACCCAGCAATATGTAGTTATGATTCCACTATTATTTATTTTCATTTCCTGATGTTTTTAAAAGCTGCTGCAGTTTCATGATCCAATATTTATCATTTGTCTGCAGTGTTCCATGATTTTGATGGCGGCAGACAGACGAGCATCCGATTGAAGCATGACTCAGCTGTGGCGGGGACAGCGGCGGACATCCAGCCCGACCCGGCCGACCGCAGGTCAAGGTGTGGCGGGAAATCGGGCCGAGGCTCAAAGACACTCAATAAAGAGAAGCTTTGTCAATAATCCGCAGCCTGGATCCGAGGCCACGTGTGAGCAGTGGGCACGCGGACCGGACAATGAGATCCATGTTCCGCTCCGCTTCGGCTCAATATCGACACAAACACACGGCAACAACAAAAGAGAAATCACTTTTCCATTGTCTGTGAGCTGCTGTGGGCTCTGAAACAAACCCTCCCTCAGGTTTTCATATGTTCTCCCCCCAGTGAGCGACGCTTAATGGTGACCTGTCTGTTTCATATCCCATCGACAGCGGCGCGGCCTTGAGTGGCCCAGCATGAGTCTCTGGGTCTGAGCTGCATTATTACAGCAGCTCCATTAACAGGCCCACAGTATGGGTTTGCATATGGCTCACTGATAACAACTGCAATGAAGAACTGATGACTCAAAAGACAGAGGTTCATCCGTACGGAGACCAGAGGTGGGTGATCTCTGCGTTAATAGAGGGGGAAACGAGTACGGCCTGGAGGACAACAGGAACTTAGATAAGAAGAGTGAAAAAATACCAGACTTTCTTGGTGTTTCTGAGCAGTTTATAGAATGAGGGGTTAGGTGTGTGAAGTCAGAGAACCCACCTGGTCGGTGCTTGGAGTGTCGGCAATATCATTCATACTTCTGCTCTGAGCATGACCTGCAAGGCAAACACTTATTAAAAGATCAGATCTGCATGTTTCCACGTCATTCAGAACAGTCACTGCTTCTTTACAGAAGGGCGGTATTTCCAGATCACCTAGCAGATGCTAACGAGAAAAGCTTTAAAACCTGAGACATACTGGAAAAATTAACTAAACTGAATCACTGAAGCTTTCAGGCATCTAATCTGGGTTAAAGCCTGGAGTCCAGGAGCTGAGGCCGCATGGACCACCGCCATCTTTCGGTTCCTATGATTGTAATCTTGTCAGGCATGTTCTGTTTAACAGATTTGTTGATTCGATGTTCTGGTTGATGTGACAGTCCTGATTCTGTTAAGTTTTCTGTAAGTTTTCAGTTTCACGTTGATCTATGCTTTTCTTTGTTTTCTAGTCTTATTGGTGTTTTCTGGATATATTTGAGTTCTTAGGTTTTTATTTGCTTGCTCTCTGTTGCCCTCTTGTGTTGGTCTCCTTTTCCCCAGCTCCTTCTAGACTCCTCTGTTCACACCTGCTCCCAATCAGCTCATTAGTCCTGTCTTGGTTCAGTCAGCCATAAATACGCTCCCTGTGCAGTTCCTCAGTGCTGGTTCCTCGTCTTTCCCCTCCCATGTTTTACCCTGATGTCTCCATGGTTCTGGTTTGTTTACATTTTTATGTTGGATTTTTGGATTCTTGCCTCTGTCACTTGTGATAACTCCATAAAAACTCCAAGAACTCATCTCTTCCTCCAAGCCTCTGCATTTAGGTCATTAAAACCTCAACCAAACCCTGACACAGATCATAAAATAGTTTGAAGGGGGAAAAAATGAAGGTGCTATATCCTGCTTTTTAGTTATCTATATGGTGAAATATTAATTCCAGCACTACAGGTATTTTTGTTTGGGGAATAGTCTTGTTCTGGTGCCATTTCACCCAGAAAATAAACCATTTCAATGACTTGGATATCAGCTTAAATATAACCATGCAGATTAGCTGCCAGAAGAGCCAGTTGGTCTCAACTTTGAGCAAAAATGATCACACTCTCCTTGAAGTCAAACTGTCATGGCTGCCTGTTCTTCCAGGTGAGGGAGGGGCTGCTACTCACACAGCAGAATTCATAAAGATTACCCAGAAACACAGTAATCAGGGTAAAATACCACTGTGGGAATGATTTTTAAGAAGGAACATTATAAGATAGTTCAAAGTTAAGAGAATTGGAGTTTGGTTGATACGGAGTCTTTAAATGTGACTGAAAAGTGTGGCAGGACACTTTATGGTGGTTTGAGCAAACCCAAACCTTTACTCAAACCTTGTTCCAGTAGATGACGTGTCTGCACATGTATGAGCAGGATTTAAGAAATATTTAAAATGCTTGGAAAAAATCAGTGACTTTGTGAATTCAAATGGAACTGCAGCCTGCAGACGTATTTTAACTTTTTCCCCTTTTAAAAACTTTGCTTTGTTAAATGTGTACACTGAAAAATTGATCTAGAGATAATTCAACTTTTCTTAAATTAAGTGTATTTAGCTTTAATTTGGACTGACAGTGACAGCCAAATGTGATATCTAGCCTGCCAGTTTTGAAAAACGGCATATGCCATTTGGGAACCGGCTTGTGCCAGTTGGGAACCGGCTTATGCCAGTTGGGAACCGGTTTGTGATAGTTGGGAACCGGCTTGTGCCAGTTGGGAACCGGCTTATGCCAGTTGGGAACCGGTTTGTGATAGTTGGGAACCGGCTTGTGCCAGTTGGGAAACTGTTATATGCTCTTGTTGCTGCTGTTAATTTGAGTAGGTAAATAAGATGATTTACCAATGGAATGAGTATTTTTCCTCTTGAAATAAGATAAGTAGATAATATGCATTTAAAATAACTCAAAGCAATTGTTTTTTCTTATTTCAAATGTAAATTGTCTTGTTGTATTGGCAAAGTAACTCACTGACCTCCAAATGCACTTATTTTAAGAAAACAAATTACTTTAGATTTAGATTTTTTTTCTGTGCATTTGTGATTTATTTTATTTTTTTTTTTATTTTTAACACCTTAACTTATAAATATTTCATGCTTTTAGGGCTGCAGCCACAGAACATGACTCACGCAGGCGTCCGTAGTTAGCTGCCTGCTGTTTCATTCGAAGATCTTCTGTGGAGCGGTTGAAGTTGGGCCCCTGGCCCGGACCTGGACCCGGACCCGGACCCCCTCCACCTCTGGGTGGTACATTTCGATCTGTTAGGAACAGGAAGCACCAACATCCGCTAAACAGAAACAAAATAGTTGTAGGTGGAGTTGTCTGATTCTCTGAGCAGCATGCGCTCTGCCCTGATGAGATGGGGAAATGTTACCGTGGTAATTAACTCATCAAACATTAATGAGTCCCCTGTGGAGGATATGAGCCCTGCTGGCTGCTGGAGAGCAGGCACCCATTTACCAACTGAGGTATAATATGAATCCAGGATGTCTTGACAAAAACATGTAGATATGCTAAGCTGTTACTATGGCGAACAGATTAGGGCTGTTAATACGGAGAATAAGGAGAAATAAAGGAAAATATATTTTTAATGACATCATAATGACGAGGACTTTATAATGTTCTGTTAAACATGGAGGTCGGTCTGCAGCAGGGACGCTTACTTCCAGAGGAGCTGGACTTGCCCATGTCGGCCAGAGAGCGGTGGATCGGCTTCTTGGTCTGATGTCGGTGTTTCCTCAAGAGGACAAAGCTGATCTTCTCCCTGAGGTCAGGTGACAGCATGCCTTCTTCTACCTGCCTCTCGATGATGTCGTCTGGACAGAAATGGAGTCAGAAACACACGCTTCATTCAGAGAACAAAACGGAGGCTTGAACACAGATCAGATGAAACTGCAGGCTAGGTTTAGCTAGGATACTATCAGGAAGTAATTTGTGGTTCTGCTGTGTGAAAAATCCAGAGGGTTTGACCTGGATCCTTCTACCAAAGCTTGCTGGGAGTTCGACCCATCCGCATGGACTGAGGCAGGGGTGGAGGCCTCCGCGTTCAAACACCTTTTCAGCTTTGCCCACAAATTTCCTAAAGGACTGGAACTAGCGGCCATTGGTTGCTCCTCAGATACGTTTCTGTCTCTGCTCCCATTTTAGTTTATCTCTTTAGTTGCTTTTTAATGTTTTAACTAAAACAAAACAAAAAACCCTAAAAACCATGATACTTCCACCGCCGTGCTTCTCATTTTAGATGGTTTCTGAGGGGTTAAAGTCTTCCTCTGTTTCTACCTGATTTAATAAAGGTCATTATGGCCAAACCCTTTTAACTAAAAAGGTTAAACACTCATAAAAGATCCTTTCTCTGAACTTTTTCTCAACATTTAAGAATAGTTTAGTATCTTTCAGAGTTGATTTTTAATGAAAGAACACACTCAAAAATTTTAGCTTTTGAGCTTTTAAGATGCTAAAGTTTTAGATTTTAGTTTTAAGTTTTAAATGTTTTGATCCTCCATGAATCATCCTAATGTCAATTATTGTGCCTAACTTGTTTGACTATAACTCTTATGCCATTTAATACCATATAAATGAATCCTAATACATCATCTTTGCTGATAGTTTCCACTACTTTGGTTACAAGCAACTGGTCAGTATGAATGAGGTTATGAATGACCTTCTACTGACTGTTTAAGCTACGTTTGGTTTGTGGCGAGTTCTTTGAGGAGTCACCCTGCATGCAGCATGAATAAGGTTGAGCATGTTGGAACCTTATTAACGTACCTGGGTTCAAACCTAAGAAAAAAAACTTTTATTTGCTAAACTCCAAACCAATCACAGACCCTGTGTGCTGGGATTACTGTAATTTGTAGGTTTTTTTTGTTTCTGATGCATGAAACTGTTAAAAGAGACTTAAAAGAGATGCAGAAAATCAATAATCTCACCAATAATCTGAGGCAATGAGTAGCCGTCCAAGTCCAGGAGGACCGTCCCTGTTTGGAGGCATGTCCTGAGCTCAAAGAGACTGTGCAGAGAGAGCGTGGACACGTGGGGTTTGCTCCATCGCTCTCCTCCTTCCTCCACCTTCTCCTCAAACTTCACCCACCTGAAGACGCCAGAAGACAAGAAGAAGACAAAGTGAATCAGCAGAAAACGTATCTGGACATTAGGAATTTAGGAAATTTGGGGCCCTAGGCAAAGACAGGTAGGAGGCCCTCTGAATTGAGAAAACAACACATAAAACAGCCCCATTCTCCAGATAGAGAAATGTTAATAGAATAGACATCCATTATCTGTTCTAGGTTGTGTCCCTCTCTTCTTGTCCCTTTTCTTCTTGTTTTCCTCTCTATGTTTTGTACTCAGCTGACTTTTCATGCTGTCTCTAAAGGAATGAAAGATTTTTTCCAAGCACTAAGCTCACTTAGCTGATTGCTCCTTCCTGTGTTTCCAAAAAGGCCAAAGTAAATAACCCAGTCCTTCTTTTCACTGTAGACAAGCCATGATCTGCTTATCTGTTCTCCATTTTTCATTTGGATGAAATAATAGCTGCATGAATCATGACAGCAGACAAGATAGAGGAGAGCAGGAGGCGGGGTTACCAATCTACTCGCTCTGGAGAGCAGAGTTCGCTGCTTTTAGATGTTGTCTCCAAAGTCTCCAGTAGCAGAAAAAAGTCTCTAGATTTGGCGCTAGGAGCTTTTTAGAAATCAAAGTGCTAGAGGGGTCTGAAAAGTGGCTAAATATAGCGACTAAAGCGCTAAGTTGGCAACACTGCTCTTTGCATGGTTTGTTTTCAAATGGTTTGTTTGAACCTTTCTGAACATGTGCAGCAAATGGACTGATCCAATATGGTGGACACTTAGCGTTTTATCAAAAACATAATTAATGTGCACAAATAAGGAATAGTTGTATTAACCATACATGTAAACAGAGTTTAATGGGGCCCCCAGGAACTTGGGGCCCTAGGCAACGACTTAGTATTGCCTAACTGTAAATCCCTCCCTTGGTGTGCTCTGGTCTTCATCTCGGTTTTTCTCCTATCTGTCAGATATTTACCGTAAATCTAACTGGTTTAAGTCACTTCCTGACCACGCCTCCTGTCTACCTACTGAAACCTGTCTTAGTGACCATCAGGTAGATTCAGCTAACAGATATTGTGGGCGTGGACGCACACCTGGCCGACTCCTTCCACTCCAGCTCGTCGCCCTCTCGCTGCAGAGTGTCCATCTCGGTGAAGAGCGTCGGTGTGGGCCCGTCATCCTCTTCGTTCAGGATGTAACGCAGCCGCTCTGCCGCTGGAGACACTGGATGATAGAAAAGAGCTTCATTAAGATGTGGAACCAAACTCCAGCTGCCTGCAGGAAGCTTTTCCAATGATCAGAACATTCTGAGCTTCTCCACCTTGTATCATAATTACATTGGAATGTCGTTTTATAATTAGATTTATTCGATTGTTTCCATCTGTATGTAAACTGGACTTGTTTGCCCTGCAAAGTGCTTCAGGACGACATCTGTTGTTAACTGGCGCCATATAAATAAACTGAATGAAGGCTGCAGGAAGGGCAGCAGAGGCCGCTTCAAATATGACAGCATAAAAATAGACATGGGTTATTTTCCTCTATTTATTGTATTAAGCCTGTATACCACTGATATGGAGTGTTTTATATTGGAGAGCAGAATCAGACTATCTTTGCTCAGTTGGATTATTTTAAACCCTTTATAGGGCAAGTTACCATTTTGGATTATTGGCATACCACTTACTAATAGAGAACCCCCCCATCCACCCTCAGTGAGGTCAAGCAGAAAAAGATTTACATCCAGCCATTCAACAATGATACGAGGGGTGTTCAATACAGTAGCAGCCATTCAAAATGCCCCTTAGCATTCAAACGCCAGCCAAATAGGTTACGCCAGCAAAATACCCTCCATGAACCCAAAATATTTATTTCCTCCGACTCCACCCTTCTCCTTAGATCTTAATGTCCACAAATCATGACAGAAAGAATATTTTAGATGTTTAAAAAGGAATAGTAGGGGACAAGCCAAGGACCAGCCATGGAATAGCCAAGGACGAGCCATGGACCAGCCATGGAATAGCCAAGGACCAGCCAAGGAATAGCCAAGGAATAGCTAAGGACGAGCCAAGGACCAGCCATGGAATAGCCAAGGACGAGCCATGGACCAGCCATGGAATAGCCAAGGACCAGCCAAGGAATAGCCAAGGAATAGCTAAGGACGAGCCAAGGACCAGCCATGGAATAGCCAAGGAATAGCTAAGGACCAGCCAAGGACCAGCCACGGAATAGCCAAGGACGAGCCAAGGACCAGCCATGGAATAGCCAAGGACCAGCCAAGGAATAGCCAAGGAATAGCTAAGAACGAGCCAAGGACCAGC